CAGAGCCAGTTCCCCTGTTTCACTCATCATCTCAATACCAATATGACAGCTTAAGTTTGTTTTGTGTTGTTTGTGTCATAAAAAAAGGTAAATTCTCCAACAAAAACTAAAAGTTCCTGTTGGCTCATCGTAAGGAAAACCAGTCCAGAGCAGTTCCAGTGATACCTGCCCACTGTTTTAGTCTGTCTATGAGGTCAAAATGGTCAAATGTGTCATATAGGCTACTGCACTACACAATCCTCAACACATTAAAAAGGAGAGATGACTCCCATTTCCATCTGAATTTCCAAAACACTCACATTCATACATACAGTATACAAAGACACACACACACACACACACACACACACACACACACACATACTAACTGTCGGTATAGTAACATAGCAGGGCACTGAGGCATCAGGTGAGGGAAAAAAAAAAACCCACCTATGGGGAGCCATCCACACCGAGAGGCACCACAGCCAACGGCCACAGGGAGTGCCGCCACAGAAACCACCCCAACCCAGATAGACCGGGGTGGACTCCACACATGGTGCAGAGCCCCCCAAGTCCTCCGGGCCTCAGGGATCTCCAGGACGACGTCCCCGTGGGCAGACCGGACACACATCCCAGTGTGGAGGCCCCCCATGAGGAAACACTGGAGCTAAAAACTAAAAGACAATCGGGTAGGATAAAAACAGGCATAAGATAGAATAATGATAAAATGCATAAGGATTTAAACCTACATCATTAAGAACATCAGAAATATAAAATAAAATAAAATATAATAAAAGAAGAGTAGAAGAAATCAGTTAAAAGCCAAATTAAAAATGTGAGTCTTGAGCCTCCTTTTAAAAACATCAACAGTCTCGGGGCATCGGCAGCGTAGTGGATAGTGCTGGTACCCCATGTACAGACACGATGCCTTAACGCAGTGGTCGCAGGTTCGAGTCTGGTTTGCAACCATTTACTGCATGTCACCCTCTGCTCTCTCTCTTACCCCATTTCACTCTGTCCTATACATTGAAGGCAAAAAAAGCCAGAAAAAATAATCTTTTAAAAAAAAAAACATCAACAGTCTCTGCAGTCCTGATGCTCTCTGGCAGGCTATTCCATAAGTGAGGGCCATAATGGCTGAATGCATCCTCCTTGTGAGTTTTTGTTCTGACTTTTGGGATGATTAAGAGGCCAGTGCAGGAGGACCTCAGGATCCGCGAGGGTTGATATGATAAAAGCAGGTCAGATAAATGAGATGACCATGGCCCAAGACCGTTAAGACATTTAAAAACTAATAAAAGAACCTTAAAATTGATCCTGAAACACACGGGGAGCTAATGCAGCAATTTTAAAATCGGCGTAATGTGCTCCTGCCCTCTGGTCTTCGTCAGCACACGTGCGGCTGAGTTTTGAAGTAATTGCAGATTAGAGATGGTCTTTTTGGGAAGACCAGAGAGCAAGGCATTACAGTAGTCTAAACGACAAGAGATAAAAGCATGCATCAGCACCTCCGTGTTAGCCTGAGAGAGAAACGGGTGGACTCTGGCTATATTCTTAAGATGATAAGAATTGGACCTAAAATTGACCCTTGGGGCACCCCACACCTAATTTCATATGTTCTGGAGGAACATGTATCCATACTTACAAAGAAACATTGATCTGAGATAAGAGCTGAACCAGTTAAAAACAGTACCAGAGAGGCCGACAAGGTTTCTGAGTCTGTTTAATAAAATGTGGTGATCTACTGTATCAAAAGCAGCGCTTAGATCCAGTACTGTGGTTCACCCTAAAACCAGATTGATATTTCTCTAAAATATTGTTTCTATTTAAAAAATCATTTACTTGGTTAAAAACCAGTTTTTCTAAAATCTTACTTAAAAATGGTACATTGGATACAGGTCGGTAATTATTAAGAACATTGGGATCTAAATTACTCTTCTTCAGAAGGGGCTATGATGATTAAAAGAACACATGTAAATACTCACAGTGAAGTTTCTATTGTGTAGAGTCTGTAACAAACACACTTCACATGCAAAGTTGTCTTTATTGAAAAGCAGGAAATGTGCAGAATAAAGTGATACAGAGCCTTAATATTCAATCTGTCATTAACATCTTTGTAGAAAAATTGCCATTTGAAATTGTTTGATTGATTTCATTAACATCAAGTTTAATATTGGATCCCATACACCATCCATACTTTCTGATTTTACCGGTAGAATTACTGTCATATAATTAATCACATTGTTTTATATACTGAAGGAAAAGAGTAAAAAGTAAAAGAGGCCATCACCAAAATGATTAAACAACTTTGTTGGACTTTGCTTTGCACCTCAGAGAGTGTTGAGAATTCTCAGCTCTGCTGCCATGAAGAAGGCTTTCTCAGGATTTCACTTATTGTAGTAACACAGGTACTCAAGACATCCACCATTGCCTGTGTTGAGATCCTCTTCAATCACAGTGAGACCAGCTTTGCGATAATTCTCAATCAAAGCTTTGTTGAGAAGCAGGGTGATGGCCTGGATGGGGTTGTTGGATCCCTTCTTGAACCACAGGGTCACCTTGTCACCACTGCTCCCCTCATTCAGGTTAATATTCACTGATGTGTACCCTTGCTCATAGACCGCAGAACCGGGGGGGCCAGGGGGGCCATGGCCCAGGTAACTTTTGGGCTCTGATATAGAGAGGGCTGCATTGGGATTGGGTCCCGCGGGTCCCCATTAAACAGTAGAAGAAGAAGAAAAAGAAGAAGAAGAAGAAGATGTAGCCTAGCGACAGGATGTCAACACAGGAACTTGGTGCACATCCATGAGCGTTTCCACTCAATATTTATTCATAAATGGACGAATATGCCCTGAACCAGCTTTCATACCAATTTGCCGCTTGCTCCACCTGTCTGTCTATCTGTCTATCTGTCAGCTCCATCTGTCATGAGACAAACATGAAAGAAGAAATGCAGTTTAAAATAAAACAGAGACGAGCTGTCATTAAGCGCGACTATTACGCACAACTGAGAGCTCTTTATAACTCACTGTGTGAACCTATATGTTGCATAATAAAGATTTGCCCCCTCGTAATTTTTAACCGCCCCCTCAGTAACTTCATCCTGGCGCCGGGCTTGCCTTAACCTCAATCACAGCGTGATTATATAAAGGTAGAAAAATAAATAAAATACAGAGGAGGAGAATAGAATATGAAACAGCCTTTATTTCATTAAAAACTAAATGAAAACAATGAAATAGGAGCGCTATTCCTGACCAGAGCCTCAAAAGACATGCAGACCAGGGAAACGAAACAAACAACCCCATGAATCTCTTTATTAATAGCCTATAAAATGACGTGTTTTCTCCTGCGGGACGGGAGAAGACACAAAATCAATGCATCTCTATTATTGTGCGGGCATAAATTCTCAGAGTTTTGCGGGAGCGGGCGGGAGTGGACATACACATTGCGGTTGCGGGCAGTAATGGTCAGAAATTCAGCATTCTGGTTACTTTTCAGTAACTGCACAGCTGCGCTTGTTTGTTGTTGGGTGTGTGTGTGTGTGTGTGTGTGTGCGGCTCTGCACATCAGTCTGATATGAGTGCTGACTTGTGATGATAATGAATATGATGTTGATTTAGATTCAAGGCAGCAAGATAAGTTTCGTTGTGGTTGTGGACTGGATGTACTTTGTTGTTTGCTATAGTTTCATCTGTGCGTTTATGTGTAAATAGGCTTGGCCTGTTGTGTGTGAATGTTAGAGTGGGATCAGAGGGGTTAATCTGAGCAAGCATGTGTTCTTCATGCGTGTACTGTAGATGTGACTGTGTGGTGTCAGAATAAAAAAAAAAGTGCTCCGCAACGTTATTTAATACATCAGTAATATTGTCTGTTTCAATGCATATGCCCCCCACCCCCTCCGTGTGACTTGAAATTATGGCCCCCCCTTTGTTCAGATGCGTTCCGCGGTCCATGCCCTTGCTTCTCATAGGTCACATACTCGTCTGGATTGGTGGAGACTTTCAGATCATTGACTGCACCCTGGGAGTCGGTGGTCTGACGGAACCAGATGAAGACAGGCTTTCCTCCTCCT